TGACGGCGGACTCATGCCTGGTGCGGCACTGGCTGCTGTCCCTCTTCAGCTCTGGCCACCCAGGAGGCGGCTGTGATCCCCACTGTTCAGACTGGAGGGCCCGAGGCGGCTCAGAGACTAAGCAACTTTCAGAACAGCTAAGGGCAGCGGCAGAAACAAAGCCCATCTGCCAGACTGAGCCCACACTCTCACGTCCCCGTGGGGCCAGCTCTGGGGACATGAAAAGCCCCCCATTTCCCTCCAGCCCTCCATCTCCACAGCAGGGCTGTCCAGGTCTAGCACTGGGGAGAACCGGAATGGGGAAAGTTTCCCACAGGCTCCTTTGGGGGCAGGGCCCCAGAGCCTTCTCCTCCTGCTCCCGGACCACTTCAGTAACTCTGATAGCTCAGAGAACTTTAAATTAATCACCCACTCAAAGTGCTGCCACCAGCTAAAGAATAATCGTCTCCTCAAGCGCGCCTGGCTCCAACATTGTGTGGCCATGGGCTTCTTCAGCAGCGGGGCTTGCGATCCCATCCAGCAGGGCCTCGTCAATGGGAAGAAGAAATGTGCTAGGAACTAACCCAGAGGAAGAACTCCAGAAGGCGTGGGGAGCAGCAGGTGCCAGGGGAAGCGAAAGGGAGAAGCCGTTCAAGAGGGTCACTCTCCCACTCCTCACAGAGGAAAAACAGAAGCACTGAGGTGCCACGGACCACACACTCCAAGTCAGTCACCAGTCACAGCGCGAAGGTGTTGGAGCATCAGGTTTCTGCAGGGCTGTCTGGGAGGCTAAGTGTGACCTTGGATGGGAGTGTGTCCCGTTCCATGCCTGGGTATTCACAGCCACACGCTGCAGGGTTGGGCAAAGGGGGCACTACGGGAGGAGCCCAAGCCGGCCCCGCTGAGTCACATGGTCCCCAGGCTGACCAGGGGGTAATCTGAAGCCCTAGGAGAGGAAAGGCAGAAACTGCATGAAGGGAGTCACCCCTGGTCTGTCCCGGTCCGGATGTCCGTCTCTGAAGCCAGTGTGAAGGTGGGGCATTAGTTCCTTCTGGATGAGGCTGCATGGGCATCTGTGCCGTCTGTGGGCTGTGGTGGTGAGCTTGACTGCCCTGGGAGCAGCTGAGACCTTTCCACCTGAGTCTGTAAAACCTTATCACTGCCCCCTGGCTGCAGCTGCGCAGGGTGCTAGGGACACAAAGCGCTGCTCTGGAGGGGTCTGGGGCCTGATCCAGCCCAGGTCGAGGGATGACAGTTCTGGGGTGAGGTTGCTCCTTGTGAATGACATGGCCTTTCCTGGGTTTCATGTTCCTCATCTGTCAACTGGGGAGAATCACAGGGCCCACCTCACCAGGCTGGGAAGGGTGTGCATCTACACAAAGTCAGAAACCTCAGTTCCAACTCCAAGGGCCCCATCAGGTGGCCCCAGAGAGCAGAAGGAATGGTTCTGGACAGGGAGCGTGGACTTAAAAGTCTGGCCCTCCGCATCTGCTACCGATTTGCCACGTGATCTTGGTCTCCAGAGCCGTGGTTTTCTCAGAGGCGGAATGGGGCAGCCAGAATGTGAGAACTGACCTGGCCTGGGTGTCCTGTGTGGGGATGACATCCAGCCCAGGCCACGTTGTGTCTCACAGGCTTGGGGTAGGAGGTTGGGGTGGGGGACTCCCGGGTTAGGAGCGAACAGGGCCCAGAAGCTGTGGCCACCTCCTCCCCTCCCCATTCCCACAGTTTCTGACCCCAGGGACAAGGCTGAGGGAGGATGTTTACAGAGCCTTAAACCTTCACTTAGAGAAGTTTGCTGGGGGCTGGGAGCAAGGACTGTTAAGTGGTGAGAATGTCCCAGTGGCCGGGGAAGCACCGAGGGGTTGGGGGAAGGGGCACTCGCTCTGAAGTCGTAGACCCTCCCAGGTCTGGGACTCCGAAGGTGCTAGTGTGATCTGAGAGGGTACCACAAGAAGTGAGTCTGCCCCTAGGGACTCAGCAATGAGGACAGGGCCTGGGGAGGGTGGGGATACAGACCAGTGGCCGGGGCACGGGGTTAAAGGGCAAAGTGGCAGATCGAAGGGCCTCGAGACAGAAAGACCCGAGAAGGGTCCAGTGACCCTTCTTCATTCTGGTCTTCACAAGAAGAAAACAGGACAGGCAATGTTCATTCCCTGGGGGCACCGTTGAGGACAAGAGAAGCCGACTTTACGCCTAGATGCCAGGGGAGGTGCTGGTCCTGGTGGGCTAGCTGGCTGGTGTGAGGGAGGTGTCTCAGCCCCCTCCTCCTCAAGTCCTCTCTCCGAGGCTCTTCTGTGGGAACCCACCCGTGCTGGCCCGGGTCTCTGACAACAGGCCCTAACCGAAGCTATGCGTGGAAACACACACACACACACACACACACACACACACACACATACACACTCAACTTGGAGAGTGTGCAAGTTAAGCTAGAAGTGCAACTACAAGCAATTCTTGACAAGGACACGCAAGACCCTACAGTTAGAGGCTGAGAAACTCCATGTGTGGAACCCTTAGAGACAGGAGACGCTTCTGTGTAGGCTCCTTCCCCGACCCCCACCACTAGCACCCACTCCTCCCGCTCAGACAGCCCCTAGCTGTTCGCCCGGCTCTTTCCCACCATTAGCCCACCCATGAAGACAAACTGGGGGGTCTCTACTTGCTCTGATGACCTACATATCTAAGGCTCCGAGAGACTCTAAAGCTAACAGTGACACTCAGCACTCAACAGGCTCCTGGCATCTCAGTCTCCCTGACCTCCAAGGTCCACGGCCAGTTCTCCGAGATCCCTAAACATCCAGACACTGTCACACCATGTTTCTTCCCCTAGAGCTCCAAGGAATGCCTTCACACTGAGCTCCTAGAGACAAGTGCTCAGGACATAGGTGCCTCTAGCCAGGGCATTCCTGGCATCCGGAAAGGGCCGGATGTGGGGCAAAGGTGTCGTCAGATTTAGCTCCTGGGAGGAAGGGGAGGCCCCTCCAAAGGAGCCATGGTAGTGGCTGGTCTGGGTTAGGTTGCCCTCATCTCCAATGACTGTCCCGGGGACTAAGAGGCCAGGCCTGCAGGCTGAGGAACCCAGCTTGGAGCCAACTGATGTCTCTGCCCAGCTCTGCCTTGGAAAAGTCACCTCCAGGAAGGAAACTGTGGAAGGCACAGCTGTGTCCTGTGTCTTAGCCTCCACGGGCACATGAGGGGCCCGCCATGCCATGCAACTCCTTTACACACACACACACACACACACACACACACACACACACACACACACACACAGTGCTTCTTTTTTCTTCTTCTTTTGATAGTGGCGCCCAGGGCTCTATCAGCCAGCTCTACCTTGAGTCTGGTGCATTCACTTTCAATGGGCACCGGAACCCTAGCCCACCAGCACTGAACTGTACCGCTCCACTGTCCTCTACATCCGACAGATGTTTATCCAGGTCTTATTGGGACGCACTGAGATGTGGGCTGCTCCTGGTCACTGACCTGGACCCAAAGCCTGACCTTACAGCCTGCAGAATCGTAATCTGGGGGGGGGGTGTCTCTGCACGAGTCATGGTTGCCACCTCCACATCTTATGATCGACAGAAAGTTCCCTTTCTCTGTTCTTCTTTGAGCCACCTTCCCCACCCGCCCTCCCCAGGTTCTGTGGCCCCTATTCCCGTGGGGCAGAGACAGGTGAGCATACGCCAGCGAAGCAAGCAGAAAGACAGGTGAGAAGAGCCAGGTAGAAGGGTGGACAGGCAGGTGGACAGGTAGATAGACAGATGACAGACACACAGACATCACAATAAATAACTGGACAGTCCCACATAGCATGGAAACAGACCAACAGAAAGGCTGTGGGACAGACAGGTGGAGAGATGAACAGACAGGCTATCACACACACACACACACACACACACACACACACACACACACACACACACACACACACACACACGGGGAAACTCAAGTCTAGCAGAGGGACAGACAGAGTGTAAAGTGACCAGCAGGTGGATAACGTGGGCCGCCCAGGAGACCCTAAGACTGGCAGTATGCTTAAGAGCAGCCCTCCCGGGCACTCCTAAGCATCCCAGCACCAGGCCCAGCCCATTAACCGATATGGCCTGGGCCTCTCATGTTCCTGGCTGGGCCAGGCCGTCCCCCAAGACCGCCTTCTGAGCTGCCAAAATTCACTCTTTACATCCAAGAGGGGTCAGTGTTTTGAAAGTTGTAGGAGCCTGCTGAGGGAAGGAGGGGCCCCACAGCGTCATTGTTTCCAAACATACCCCTCTCTTCTTTCTTTTTCCCCATGCCCAGAGCCAGGCCTAGTACAGCGGCCAGCAAGGCAGGAGAGCCGGGCCCAGCCTGCAGGGCAAGGCAGGACAAGACGGGCCAGGGCAGCCAGGGCAGCCTGCTGCCTCCGCTGCTTCGAAGTTGAGGGTGCAGGGCAAGGCTAATGAAGACACAGATAAAGTTGGAAACAGCACACAGGCCTGTCAGGGCCATAGGGACCCTAGACACCTACAATCAGAGGCCAGCCCTGAGCTGGGGACAGCCTGTTTCTGAAGAGGGAAATCTCCAAGGGGACGAGGTGGGAGCACAACATAGCTACTGAATCTGAGAGGAGATGGCAGGAGAACGTGGGGGCCAGGGTCTTCTGTGTCTGGGACACAGTGCGGGAGAGGTGGAGAAAAGGAGAGCCTCACTTTTGTGGCTTCAGACTCGGTAGAGCAGAGAAGCTGAATGCCGAGAGTAGCTGGGACAGAGCGGCAGGGCTCTGCGATCAGGATGGAAGTAAGGAGAAGAGGCAGAAGAGGTCAGGCGCGAGGGCAGCAGGGGTCAGCGCTGGGAGATCAGGGGTTAGGGTCAAGCTGGGGGACCGAAAAGGGGGTTCAGGTCCTAGAGGGAGGGCTGAGGGACTGCCGCGGGGCAGGGGGCAGGAGGTGGAGCCAGCGCCGGGCGGCGGTCCCCAAGGAGCCCGGCTCACGCGGGGTCAGCGCTGGGGCACGCGAAGGGGCGCGGGGTCCCCAACTTACATGAAGACGTGATAGACGAAGGCCCAGCCGCGGGGCCGCTCGAGCACGTTGTAGACCCAGTTCTGCAGGCGACGGTAGCGCTTGTGCGCGGCGGAGGAGCGCTGGCCACAGGCGGAGCCCGAGCCCGAGCCCGGCCCAGGGAGGGGCGCGCCCGGCGGCAGGGGGCTGCCCAGAAGGCCGAGACGACGCGGAGAGCC